GAGCGTAGATGGCTCAAGTTACGCAAGAGGAGTTGCTGGACTCCCTCTCCCTAGAGAAGACCGCTGCGTCAACTCCGAGAGGTCTTTCACCTTTGACAACCGTCAAGCTTCAGCTCCTGCACAAGACAGTCAACAACGAGTGCATCCAGAAACAATCGCGACTCTACAGACAAAATTCGTTTTGATTGTTGGAGTTGGGAAGTGGGAATGAGCTTGCAAGCTCCAACCCCTTCCACAATACCCCTTGGGGGCTTCCCCAACCATGGCTTCCATGGTTGGGCAGCTCATAGGCTTGGAGCCTAGGTGGCATCTTTGTTTGGTTGGGAAAACCCAACTTAATTGTGTTCTATGGTTGTTAGGTTCTTTGTGTGGATTGTAACAACAATTGGCAAATTTTGATTGGTTGGAAATCCAACCTTTCCAATCTTCACTTTGATGGGTTGGAAGTTTCCAAGCCTCAAAGTTGAGGTTTACAACCAAAGCAACCTTCCCCTCCAACTCAACCTTCCTGATTCCCATCGAGTCATTTCTCATCGAGCACTCTCTCGATGTTGACTTAGGAAACTAGCGGTAGTTAGGCAGAGTAGGTCATGCGTTACACACGGCGTGTCGTGTCAAGCTGTCACGTAAGTCGTGACGCCACTTCTTCCGTTGCTATGCTTTTATTGTTTCACATGAGCTCTAATTTTATGTAACTACACATCTCCCCATTCCCATCTGCCACTTGCCCATTATCCTCTGCCATTTTCCCAAATCCCTTTCATTTTCCCATTCCCCTCTCCCCATTACTCACTCCCGCATCCCTTCCCCCCGCTCCCTTCTGCCCCTTTCCCTTCCCCCTGCGACTTTCCCTATTCCCCTTGATCCATTTCCAGTTTCCCATTCCCGTCTTAACATTCCCCCATTCCCCCATTTTCCCGTTCCGCTCACCCATTTCCTAATATGCCACATCCCCGTCTGCCCATTTCCTCAATCTCCTCTCCATGTCACATTCCCCAAACACTTCCTAGAGACAAAGCAATGGAGGTAGGTGATTGCTTGATGGTTGAAGGAGGGCAAACATTGTGCTGAATGAGTGAAGGTATGTTATCCCAGAAGTCGAGTCATCACCTCATGTGCCGTGTCATCACCTCATGTGCCGTGTCATCACCCCATGTGCCGTGTCATCACCCCATGTGCCGTGTAATCACCCCATGTGCCGTGTCATCACCTCATGTGCCGTGTCATCACCTCATGTGCCGTGTCATCACCTCATGTGCCATGCCATCACCTCATGTGCCGTGTCATCACCTCATGTGCCGTGTCATTACCCCATGTGCCGTGTCATCACCCCATGTGCCGTGTCATCACCCCATGTGCCGTGTCATCACCTCATGTGTCGTGTCATCACCTCATGTGCCGTGTCATCACCTCATGTGCCGTGTCATCACCCCATGTGTTGTGCCAGTGCAAAATGTGATGTCTCATGATCCCCATGCACCCTGCTACCATCCCATGTATAGTTTCACCTCGCCATTCTCATCACCATAATCACCATCAGCCACCATGTAAATTGTCACATCCAACCATGTGTTGTCCTTTGATATTGCCGTAGTCATTCCTGCTCCACTCCCCCCTTCCCACTCTCCCCACTCAACAGGCAGAGAAGAGGCAGAGCAGAGGGCAGAGAAGAGGGCAGAGCAGATTAGGCAGGGGCTTGCGCAGCAGAGGGCGTGGGAGTGGATGTGTGAGGAGATGGCATGGCGAACAGGGCAGGTCAGCATCGTGTAGCTGACCTCCCCCACGTAAGTCACAACAAGTGGACAAGTCTCCATTTACCCCCCTTACGCTCTTCACCATGCACCTCTCTCCGTTCACGCCCTCAGTTCACACTCTCTCAGTGTCCTCATTTCCCACCTTGCCATTCACGCCCTTGTCCTGCAGCCGTACCAGCATATGAGGTTGACTGAGACGTCTCAAGGCTTGATCTCAAGAATTTCCCAAACAAGCACTTGCTTTCCGTCCATCCCCAGCATTCAAAGCCACTGTCACCTGCATGCCGGACGCTCTCTTTGCCTCACTCCCCTCACCTCTCTTGCCTCCTCTCACCTCTTCTCACCAGTCCTCACCTCTCTCGCCTCTCACCAGTCCTCACCTCTCTCGCCTCTCTCACCTCTCACTTCCCCTCACCTCCCCTAACCGCTAATTGCTCACCTCTCACCTCTCACCTCTCAACTCTCACCTCTTAACTCTCACCTCCCTCACATACTTTTCCGTACATGTTCCCTCTCCCCCCTCGCATCAGATGGAATGGTCCCAACCCAACCCATGGGTGGGTGGGAGTGCCGCCAGTGCAAGTGTATTCTTAAGGCGCCTAAATGAATGCATGTACTCTTTCCCTTCCCTCCCGCCTCCCATCAGTTGGAATGGTCCCAACCCAACCCATGGGTGGGGGTGCCACCAGTGCAAGTGGCCCTGGCTGCCGATGCTGCTGAGGTGGCAGCCACAATCACCCGACTCCTTTCATCTGTCGGATGGCAAAACTCTCTCTTCTGCAAGTGGCCATGGCTATTGATGCTGCGGAGGTGCCGGCTGTTGAATTACAGCACGCACTTACTGTGTGTTCTGGCTGAGTGTGGTCATGGCGCTTGGTGCACAATATCTGGAAGTGTTCAGCCGTTCCAAAACGAACCGGTGCATGTACCCTACTAAACTTGACACGTGTTAGGCATGACCCAGCCGAGTGATCATTCACTTGGATGCTTTTTGTCACTAAGTGAGGAAGCCATTGGTATAGGTAGTAGTACAACAAGAAGGCCATGAGACAAGGATTTGTTGGCAGGAAGTTGTGGTTATGGAAATTGTGATGAGAATGGTGGCAGTGCTAGCGGTGAAGGCAGTAACAGAGATGGCAGTGATGGTAACACCAGCAGCAGCAGTCAGCCAGTGAAGAAATCACCGTCATCATCATTCATCCAGGTGTTTAGAACCCTCCCTAACTATCGTATCTCTTAAGATTGTATTCATTCCCTGCCTTCCAACCTGCACTTCCCACCTCAAAGACATCACAGCCAAGGAAACAACATATTACAGAGATGCTACATGCCATAGTACCTTACTGGTGCCTATCTAAGCATATACATATTCAGCCCATACACTTCATTGATGCTCCTGGGGAGCACAGACCCATCAGTGTCCTTTACAAGCCCACACTCGTACAATTTCAGCATCCGCAGTGCCTTCAGCTCACCCAAATCCCACGGCAATGCCTCCAGCTGCGCACAGCATGACAAATTGAGGGATCTGAGCCGCGTGAACTGTGCAGCATTGGAACACAGGGAGCGCATGGGGCTGTTTAGAATTGACAGCTTGTTCAGGCAGGTGAGAGAGGTAGGCAGCTGCTCAAGCTGCTTGCTTTCATAGAGGTGCAGCTCCTGCAGCCTGGATAAAGCACCGATGGCATGCGGATGCGGCAGAGAAGCCAGTTTGGGCGCGTAGCAAACCAAGATCATCAGGTTCTGAAATTCTGCCACACTCGCTGACAACTCCCTCAACTCGTCCGCACTTACCAGCTTCAGCTTCCGTAGCTGCGGCCATGCTGACCCGATATCAGCCGGCGGCCTTCGGAGATTCTTCGCGTTGCGAATATATAGGGTGAGCAGGCAGGAGATAAGCGTAAAGGCAAATGGAAGCTCCTCAGCATTACCTGCCAAAGTCAGCTCCAAATGCTCCAGGTGCGATAGGCTCGACAGGTGAGAAGCCGGCAGGACTAGAGGAGGCCGTGTCAGCATGTCAAATCGGGTCACTTGAGCCGTGTCAGGCCTGTCAGGCCTATCAAACTGTGTTTGTATGTCTGTAGGCTGTAGTGGGGTAGCTTACATAGAGTACAACCCCTTTTAGGGTTTCCCTACTTGTACTCATCTTTTATCACAGTGAAGTCATTTTCTTGCCCGTTAGTTCTGACATGGTATTCAGAGCAGGTCCCCCCATAGGACCACTCCGTTAGGGCCCACCGTTAGTTTCGAACTGCCCAAACTTCCCTGCCCGTTCGTTCCTGCCCTGCCCGGACAGCGTCCCTCGCGCTGCCCTGCCTGCGCTACCCCAAGCGCTCTGCCCTGCCCTACGTACTGCCCGCTTGCTGCCCAGCGCGCGACCCGCACGCTGCCCTGCTCGCGCCTTGCTCGCGCTGCCTGCACGCACGCTGTCTGAGCTCTCCGCGCGCCCTGCCCGCACGCTGCGCCCGCTGCCCGCACGCTGCCTGCGCTGCCCGCGCGCTGCCTGCACCGCTTGCGCACTGCATTTGCTGCCCACGCGCTGCATTTGCTGCCCGCGTGCTGCTCGCCTCGCCCGCGAACTGCCTGCGCACTGCTTGCACCACCGGCGCCCTGCCCGCGCACCGCGCGCCCTGCCTACGCACCGCCCGCACGCTGCTGGCGCCCCCCGCGCACTGCTCCTACGGCCCGTGCAGCCCGTGCTCTGCCTGCACAGCTCGCGCGCTGTCCTGCGCCGCCTGCACGCGCCCTGCACACGCTGCAGCTGCTGCTACGGTGCTGCAGTCCGCTCTGCGCCGCCCTGCCGAACCGCCCAGCTGAGCCGCCCTGCCTAGTTGCCTAGCCGAGCTGCTTTTGCTGCCGTCCCTGTTTGCTACTGCTATTTCTGCTGCTGCTATTGCTGCTTCTGCTTCTGCTGCTGCTGCTGCTGCTGCTGCTGCTGCTGCTGCTGCTGCTGCTGCTGCTGCCACTGCTAGTGCTTACTATGGCTACCCTTAATGTCCTTACCTTGACGTGGAGGGTCGCCCGATTAGGTTTGACTGCTGGCTCTAGGATCTCGAGCTGTACCTGCAGAGCATAGCTAGGGAGGACGTTTCACTGCTAGAGCACACGTCCGGTTCTTGCCTTGCCCCTGAAGAGTCAGCTGATCGTGTTTTTCGTACTCAGTGGCTCACGCGCAATGCTGCCGCCCACTTTTCTGTCCGCAATGCCCTCCCGCTAGACCAACGAGTCCATTTTGGCCAGCTTAAGATGGCGAAGGAACTCTATGACGCCGTAGTTGCTCATTACTCCTCCCCCTCTACTTCTGCCCTAGGCCGTATCATGCTGCCGTACCTCTTTCCTGAGCTGTCAAATGTCCACAGTGTCGCTGATCTCATGACCCACCTTCGCTCTAGTGACGCTCGCTACCGTGCCGCTCTCAAGCCGGCCTTTCTGACTGTGAACCAGCCTCCGATGTACATCACTCTATGCTACCCTGTTACTCGCCTCCCTGACTCCCTTTGCGCCGTTAGGGATCACTTCCTCACGCTTGACCCCACCGAGCTCACCCTTGCCTTGCTGGAGAAGCATCTCCTTGAGGCCAAGACCAGTACTGTCGCTGTAGCTGCCTCTCGTGGCACTCCCCGCTCCCCCTTCTTTGAGGGGTGTTCTCCCTCCATTCTCGCGCTCTCTGTTGCTACTGTTGCTCTTGTTGACTTCTTTCGTACTGAAGAGGTTGGTGCCGCATCTGCTCCTAGTGGGAGGTGCCACAGCGACAAGGGCAAAGGGGGTAAGGGTGGTGGGGGTGGCGCTGGTGGGGTGGTGGCTGCAGTAGAGGTGGCGGGGGTGGTGGAGGTGGTGGAGTGGGCGGAGGGGGCTCGGGTGGCGTTCGGGGTGGAGCTGGCAGGGGCGGAGGCTATGGGGCGGTGACTGGGGGTGCAGCTCGTGGCGGCTGAGGCATTGGGGGTGGACAGCAGCACCAGCCATGCCAGCAGGAGCCACGCACCCCTCAAGAGATTCGTGAGTGGGTTGTCCAGCGTGGCTCCTCTGGGGGTAGTGTTCGTTGCCCGTACATCAGGCGCTCGGGTCCCAAGACTGGTGAGCCCTGCGGGAAGATTGGGCACACTGAGTACTGTTGCTTCTGCCGTCTCGAGGATGCCTGGTACACTGAGTACGGAGATGATCAGGAGATCCCCAACTGCTTAGGATTGCTAGGGAAGGGGGTGGATGTGTTTGCTCTTGACTTTGACAAGATCAATGCTGGAATCTATGCAATGTATGCTGGGTCTGCTAGTGTTGAGGGTGACTAATACTCATGTGTGCCGCGCGCTGCAGGTGTAGAGGCTGCTTCTCTAGGTGCTTGTGAGTTTGTTGCCGTGGCTACTGCTTTTGCTGAGGCCTTCCACACCTTCACACTTGACTCAGGCGCGTCTTGCTGCTTCTTTCGCGATGGCACCACAGTCACACCGCTCACAGCACCTCTCCTAGTCGCTTTGGCTGACCCCTTTGGGGGCCTAGTCATTGCACGAGCCTCCATTGTCCTCCCTTGTCCGGCGGTCCCCTTCCGCTCTCTCCCAGGTCTCCACCTCCCTTTGTTCTCTATGAACTTGGTGAGTATCGCTGTCCTCCAGGATGAGTTGGTCACTACCACTACTCCTGGGGGTGAGCGGGTGACAATCTGTACGTGCTCACGGACAGGCCGCCACCTCGTTACGTTCACTCAGAGACCTGGGTAGGGACTGTACACACTGACCACTGAGTCAGCACAAGTGGCTGCGTCAGGTCAGGTGGCTGCGTCGGGTCAGTTAGATGTTTGTGTCGGCTACTCTCGCACCAGACTCTCCCCTGGCACCACTGTCTTGGTCACCCCTCCCTGCCGCGCTTGCGTGGCATGCACTCTCGTCTCCTTGTCTCTGGCCTCCCCAGATCCCTGTCCCCGCTCCTGCGCTCACTTGCACCGCCGTGCCTTCCCTGCGTCGAGGGGCGGCAGCGCGCCGCTCCTCACTCCTCCTCGTTTCCGTCAACCACTGCTCCTCTGCAGACTCTCCACATGGATGTGTGGGGCCCCGCCCGCATCCGTGGACAGGACCAGGAGCACTACTTTCTGCTGGTTGTCGACGACTACACGCGCTACACCACGGTCTTCCCCTTGCGGAGCAAGGCGGATGTCCATGATGATTTGATCCCCTGGATCACCGGTGTCTATCACCAGCTGAGCGCGCGGTTTTAGCAGGTCCTGCGACTGTACTCTGACAGAGGCGGTGAGTTTTCCTCCCGCCTCCTTGAGGACTTTTGTCGTGCGTAGGGCATCGCCCAGTCGTTCACGCTTCCGGCCTCTCCACAGTAGAATGGGATTGTTGAGCATCGCATTGGCTTGATCATGGAGGTTGCTCGCACCTCCATGATCCATGCGGCTACTCCCTATTTTCTGTGGCCGTTTGCGGTCCGATACGCCGCGCATCAGCTCAACCTTTGGCCCCGTGTCTCTGTGCCAGATACCTCGCCTACACTGCGTTGGACGGGGGAGGTTGACGATGCGACGCCGTTTAGGGTCTGGGGCGCACTCTCCCTTGTCTGCGATACCACCGCGGGCAAGCTCTCTCCTCACACTCTTCGATGCGTCTTCCTTGGCTTCCCCACTGACGCCCCACCCTGGTTGTTTTACCACCCTGCCTCGTGCTGCATCCTGTCCTCATAGGACGTCACCTTTGACGAGTCGGTCTGTTTCTACCGTCTCCACCCGCACGTGTCCTCTCCACTCTCCTTGCTGCCCCTCTTCCTGGTCCCAAGTCCCCCACCAGTAGACTCCCTTCCCCCACAGGGTCTTGCTCCCTTAGGTGTGTCTCGGGTCGACCAACCCCCCTTGGTTGAGCCTTTAGAGGTCTCCTCTGACACCTCTGGCCCAGTTAAGGGGGGTGACCCCGTTGCTGACGACACGACGGCCACTCGCCGCTCCCCGCGCTTGGAGACCCCTCCTAGTTTTCCGCCTCAGCCGAATTCGCCGCCTCCGCAACCTGTTGCTGTGGACTCTGGTGCTGCTAGGGGTGGTGACATTGGGGGTGCAGACTCTGGAGGTGCTGGTCCTGAGGTTGTTGACTCTAGAGGTGCAGAGTTCGGGGGTGCTGGTTCTGGGGGTGCTGACTGTGGGGGTGCTGCGAGTCCTAGTGGTGGTGGAGTCGTGGGTACTCCTACTGGAGGTTTTGGCGTTGGACCGCAGCAGCACTCTCGTCGACAGGAGACCCTCTCGCTGCAGCAGCTTCGCGATTGGGTTGTTCGGCGAGGCCGCTCTGGTGCTGGAGCTGCTATTGCTGGAGGTACTGGAGCTACTGGTGCTGGACGTGCTGGAGCTGGAGGTGCTGGAGGTGCTAGCCGTGAAGCTGTAGGGTAGCTATTAAGTTAGCCACGTAGGTGAGTCCAACGTCGGGAGTAGAGACGAAGTATTGGAGTGCTCGGCGTAAGTCTAGCAGATTCTCCGCTTCAGGTCGGCGCAGGTACTGTGCGAGCTGGCTTGAGACGTAGGTGAGATCCGGTCGGCACGTGATGGCGGCGAACAGGAGACACCCCAGCTGGTGCTGATAGAGCCGATGATCTTTGATAGAGAGCGGTGTGGTGTCGGGTTCGTGAGTAGGAGGAGGAGTGCGAAAGGGGGTGGTGAGGTTGACCGGGGCGTGTGCGAATTTCTTCGCAAGTGTTTCCGCGTACTTAGCGGCGGACAGGTGGATAGAGGTGGCGGACTGGGTAATGTTGAGACCAAGAAATTGCGTGACGTTGTGGTTGATAGTTACTTCGAGCTTCTCCTTAATTTCTGCTTCGAAGCGATCGAGCAGTCCCGTGTCATCGCCGGTGTAGAGGAGATCATCGACGTAGGCGACGGGATTCCTTCCGGTATATGCCTTGGTCATGTGGTAGCTCGACGAAGCCGAATTCGATGAGGACGGTGCGCAGGTACTGCTGCCACAGGCGAGGCGCTTGCTTGATGCCATAGAGGGATTTCTGGAGGAGGCAGGCAGCGCCATCGCTTTCTTCCAAGGCGTGTGGTTGCTCGACGAAAATAATGGCGTCGACGAGTGCGTACAGAATGCACTTCCGACGTCGATCTGTCGGAGCAGACGCTGCTTGACAGCCGCGATGCATATGAGAATGCGGACCGAGTGTGCCGTCCAATGGGTGCGAAGGTCTGGTCGTAATCTACCAGGTGGGTTTGCTCGAAGCCGCACACCACCCATCTCACCTTGTATTTATCGATTGATCCGCCCGCGAGCGTTTTAATCCGTAAGACCCATTTGCCGCCGAGTATCTTTCTCCCCTTTGCAGATGATCGGGGAACGAGCTTCCAAGTCCCGCGGCGCTTCAGTGCTGGTACTTCTGCTACCATGGCTGCCTTCCATTTTTCGCTGTCGGGCCCAGACAGGGCCTGGCGTACGGTAGTGGGTTCCTTGGGTGAGGCGTGGTGAACTACGACCGCGAGTCCATGGATGCGGAGGCCAGTTTCGTTGGGCTCTTTGTAGGCGAGGCGATCGTAATCGTCGGCGTCGGTTACTTCGATAACGCCGTCGTCACTGTTGTGCCCGGTGCGGATAGTGTCTTGCGAGGGGTTTGGTAGTGGTAACTCGGCATCCGGAGATTGGCGTGCTGTGGTGTTGTAATTGTGGGCTTCACGAGTTGTATCATCGGGATCGAATTGGGAAACATGTATGAAGGTTGGAGTCTGGAATGGGCTTGTAAGGGGGATGTTGGGAAAGGAGTGAAATGGTGTGTTGTCCGTTGCGTCAGCATCCTCTGCCACGTCAGCCTCATCCCGTGATGTGGCGAAGCTGCGGTGCCCCTCGAAAACCTTTTCTGGTGCCTTGTAAGCTTTGCGGTGTTCCTTGAACAGTGGAAGAGTCAGCTTCTCGTAGAAGATGCAGTCACGTGATTTTGTCACTTCGTACGTTGCATAGTCCAGCACGATCCATGCCTTCAAATCCTTTTCAATCCCGAGGTGGATGCCCCAGCGTGCCCGGTCAGCAAAAAATCCGGTCCTTGCTGTGTGGGCCCTGTAATGTACCATTCAGCCGAACACTCGAAGAAGACGCGTGTCAGCTTTTCTGCCTGTCCAAGCCTTGTAAGGCGAGATGTTGTTCTTCATGCTTCGAGATGACAGCAAGTTGTGCAGACGAACTGTAAGGTTCATCACAAACGGCCAAAACTTCGTTGGGATGGCAGGCTCCTTCATCTGGGCCCTCATCCTGGTGGCGAGGCTCTTGTTTGTTTGTTCTGCTACTCCTTGCTGCTCGTGAGCATAGGGCATGGACACCAGGTGCTCAATCCCTGTGTTGGCGAAGAGCTCCTTGAACTCGTTGGAGAAGTACTCCAAACCCTCGTTTGTCTGGAAGCTTTTCAGCTTCAAACCTGATTGGCGTTCGGCACGCTTCATCCAGGTTACGAAGCAATCGAAGGCCCACGAGCGATAGTCTATGTTGACGGCCCAAACGTAGCGCGTGCAGGCGTCAATGAAGGTCATCGTGTTATTTTCTCCATCAAGCCCTCCTTGGCTAAGTATCATGAAGTCGCTATAAACCTTCCCGAGTGGTTTGTACCGTTCGTAGCCTGGAGGTAAGTCCGGGAAGGGCTTGTGAGCGAGCAACGCGGTAGGGCAGACGAGGCATGGTGGGTCGTTTGAAGTTGCTTTAAGTATGTCATCGTTGGGCAGAAGCAGTCCTTCCGTGTGTAAGAAGTTCTTGAGTGTGGCGTGCGAAGGGTGTCTGAGCCGCTGGTGCCAAATTTTTGGATTAGCACGATAGCCGACTGTCCTCTTGTGATACTTGTTTCTTTCTTCTTCTTGCTACCTCTTTCAGGTCCTTTGTCGGTGACGGCGCGTACGTCTGCTGCAAAGTCTCGAGCAGAGGCTTCTTCCAGGACAGCCTCGGGGATACCGGCGACATCGTCCGTGTTAGCGACGTGAATCGAGTCGTTGGTGGTCGGAAGGAGCTGTGGAGTTGGGAGTCGTGCCGCTTCAGGCCACTCTGAAGCAGCGAGTCCCTCCATCGGAACGTGGTGATAGAGGTGCTCATCGCCGGTGACTGATATTAACTGAGGTCCTTGTTCCAGTGGTGGTGCTTCCCCGGTTCGGGTAGATCCGCCGTTTCCCCGAAGTCGCAAGTCATGCCTTCAGACTCCTCTTGTGCTTCCTCTGCAAGTTTGTACGGATATTGGTCTGGAAGAGGAGGTCCGCCCCAGCTGGTACCGTGCGTTGCCCAGTACGGGTCTATTTCCGCCACATCCGCAGGAGGAAGTGTTGGAGCTTTGGGATAAGGAGGACTTCGTGGTCCCTAGCCCCCTTGAGGTGCAGGGGGAAATCCTTCTGGTGGTGTTTCTATCAACCCCCACGCATCGACTGTAACACCGGTGTTGGCCCAGCTAGGCGAAACTGGTCCTGTTATTCCCCATCCTCCAGTGTCAGCTTGTCGTGCAGTTGCTGACCCCCCACTGTCTTCTTTTTGTTCCATTGTTGCAGGTCTGGTATATCTGTGAGAGGAGGTAGAAGCAGTTGGGACTTCGAGCAGGTGAAGAAGTCCATCTGATGCAGGATGTTCAAGATCCATCTCGGCAAGGTGCGACCATGTCGACGTCTCTGTGGATGTTGTCTTCAGCAGAAGAGTCCTGTCTGAGTCGCCGGTGTTGCCCTATGAGTCAAAGTTTAGTACAAGAACGCAATCTTCGTCGATCGCCTTGTTGATGCAACTGTTTTTATAAAATAATTCAAAGGTTTTGTCTTCGCAGTTGCTTCGAATGTCAACTCCACACTTCATCAGTTGAGCTGCCGAGAGAAGGTTGAACTGAAGATCGGCGACAACGAGCACATCTCCGATGTGGATGGTGAAGTTGGTGTCGCTTCACTGCAGGTAAATTTCTCTGATGTCATAGGCTTGGAGTCGGTTGTTGTTCGCGATGGTGATTTCGCACGGTCGTCACATTATTTTCGAGTTACTGATGCATTTCGTGTTAGAATGTGAGCGAATGAATGACTGAACTAGAAAACAGGTGGGTACAAGTAGGAAACCTAAAAGTGTTGTACCCTATAAGAACTACCCCACTACAGCCTAAACAGACTATAGCATATAAGTTTGACACACCCCCATAGGCAAAGTGGGGGAGAACAAGAGGTCACAAGACCAGTCAAGAAAGACAAAGCAAGCTCAGGGTGGATCACAAAGTCACCACACAGTCTGAGCACAAGCAAATGGCCAC